AAATACATAAATTGACCCCACACTCTTATATTTTATTTAACTTTATTAGCATCAATATGAGAAAATACTCATACTTCATGCTTTTATTGAACTTCAATGGGATTAATTGGCCCTACTCAAATACACATAACTCTGCCTAATTAATGCTGAAGCCCTCCCAAATGGGCCCTTATTTTCTATCAGACCATATGTATGTGTTTATGTATTTATGTATGTAGGAATGCATGAAAATATGAAGGCATGTATGTATGTATGTATATATGCATGTATGTATGTATATATGTATATATGTACAGTGTAATAGTGTCGCATTGTGTGAACGAAGATGTAGAGCTGGTGAACCATCCATCGTCCACTCCAAAAGTCCCCCCCTCCCTCCGTTTTCGAAATAGCTTCACGGGAAAGTCGATTTTTGGCCTATAAAAGCCTATTTTCAGCTTTCTGAATTTTTATCGGACAAATTCCTGACTTTTTGGATTTTTTTGGCTCATACAATGCTAGAAATCATTGTGTGAAAGCCCTCCCAAATGGGTACAAAGGCATTTCTGAGCTATGGCTTAGGCGCTTGAAAATATAAGAAAAAAAAACAGAAAAGTAAAAAATTTGTTGACATTAAGTTATTATATGAAACCACTAAGGCTACATCAGCTGCTTCAAAGAAGCTTCTAAAAATAAACTAAGAGGCTGTTTGACAAATCTTTTTGGAAAGATTTTCTAGTAGTTTTGATAGTCAAAAGATGCATTGAGCTTTTGCATTAAGATCTAAGCAGCCTAAAGTCCGTTTGGCTAAGGCATGTCTTTCCGTGTGTCTTTTTATATGAAGATAAATAGAAAAAATGCAAAAGTTCCATTTGGAATTTCTCAAAAATCACCCATTTTGGGCTTCTCGCGTCTTTTTGGCACGTTGACTTTTAACAGCTAAATCTACTATGAACCAAATGGGAAAAGACCGAATCACGGTATGTCAGGCTTGTAAAGAGCTGGCAGACCGCACGAAAATACAAACAAATGGGGCCTAATTAACTTCACCAAAAAGTCAGATTTTTCAATTCAATGTAATCGTTTTCTAGCTCAGTTATAAACACCAAAGGCGGCAGTTTCGAAGCTTAATTCAAAAGATTGGTTAATGAGATTAGTTAGCTAATTCAGGTCCTCATTTCTTACCCATTAATAAAAATAAGAATGGTTCAATGTTATCGTCAAAGGACCCTGATTTCATTCTTCCATTTATACCCCTGCCATTGAAATATAAGAATGGTTCAGTGTTATCATCAAAGGACCCTGATTTCATTCTTCCATTTATACCCCTGTAATTAAAATATATTTCCATCTTATATCTTATATATCTATTAAAGGGATAGGGGTGGTCTCCCCTTTTACCATTGGTTTCAGGTCGACAGTTTGACCGTTTGGTTTGAACGAATAACCTGTTATGACAATAAAAATTACAAGCAAAAAAATTATAAAATTGTTTTGGCCACTGGTTTTCGGGTCGATAGTTCAAACGGATGGCCCGTTTTGACAACAAAAATTACAGGGAAAAAATTGAGCATATGAGGTCCATTAAGCAGTATCATACGTGCTATGTCATTCGAGCGCGTGACTCATACGACCCAAAAACGGAACCGTTCTGGCCACTGGTTTTTGGGTTGACGGTTCAACCGTCCAGTTCAAATGGATGACCCGTTCTGACAACACAAATTAAAAAAAATGACTAGAACCATTGAACGGGTCGATGGTTTGACCGCTTGGGTTAATGGCTCATTGATCGATTCAATGGTTTTTGGCCAGGGACCGGGATTGGGGTAAAACGGAACCGGTTTCCTGGATGGTTCTTGGGCCGAAATGTTTAACTCCATCTCAAAGTGGAACTTTGAACTCGATTTTCTGATTTTTTTCCTTGGCTTTTCCAGTTTGGTAGATTTACCACCATTTTTTTTTGTGTTTAAGGTCACTTTGGATTTACCTTTCAAGGTTTTGGAATCCCTTGCAATGTCCAGCCTTCCCATGGCTATGACTACAAAGTTATTTCGTCTAATTATTGACATTTAGAAAAAACGAACCGAAAATGGAACTGTTCTGGCCACTGGTTTCTAGGTTGATGGTTCGACCGTTTGGTTTGAATGAATTGTATGTTCTAACATAAAAAATTAAAAAAATAAAAATAAAAAATGGCCAATACTGTTGAACAGGTCGACGGGTCAACGGTTCAATCACCCGAGTCAATGGGTCGTTTACTAATTCAACAATTTTTTGCCAAGGATTGGGTTTGTGGTAAAATGGAACCAATTGCTTGGATGGTTCTCGGGCCGAATGGTCCTATTGTTTAGGTCAGCTGGGAGTTCTCGATGTGAAACAAAGGACAACTATGAAGTAAAACTCAGAATTATCACTGTATGATCGTATTCTTTTATATGAGATGTTTTGCTGAAGCAATATTTATAAAACGAGTATATGGCGACCTCTTTTAAGTCTTTATATGAGTTTCAAGACTTGAGTACTTATAATTACAAGTTTATTATTAAGAAACCATTGTCTTTTATAATGTAGCAAATAGAAATGTTGCAATTTCATTACAGCCCCTGCGAAGCAAGGGCCCCTCTGCTAGTATCTTTTTAACTAAAATAATATTGAGTGTAAATACTATTTTGCCCACACAGACAGCCTAGCTACAACCAAAGTTTTTCCTTGGCTAATGAGTCTCAGTTTCACCATTAAAATCCATATATGCAAGGGAGTCTTGTCCACACGCAAAGTCTTCATGGGCATAGTAAGTAAGGGATTTAAGTAGGGGTGGCCACGAGCCGAGCTTGAATATATATACAAAAATGTTCTAATTCGTAATTTTTTAAATATCAGATAAAAATATTTTTATATATGATTTTTTATTTTTATAAAACGTTTTTTCTCAAATAGAGCTCAAGCTTATGAATATTTGACTCGAACCAAACTCAAGCTCAAAGTTCTAACTCGAACCAAACTCAACTCGAGTTTTATACTACCTTGACAAGCCAAGCTCGAGCTGAATACATCTTGTACTATTCAGCTTGGCTCGGCTCAAATCCACCCATAGATTTAGATTTAGGGAATTCTTATTCGTCACTCGTCAGGTACAAAGAAAATCTATGCTTCGTCACAAAACTATACGGCCCTGACAATGTATCAACATCCAAGACGTGGCTAACAATTTTGGAAGGACCGCTAACACAGCTCTTGGCTTACCAAAAGGGGTCCGTTTGGATGGTCAAATCTTTGCCTCACAAACTTTACTCTCTTATCATGCAGAACCAAGTTACCTTTTGCGAGTTGCTTAAGGCCAACCACAGAAACTTTAAATCTAGCTTATATGGAAAAACAAAGCTTTAGATGTAGGTTCTTTTTAATGCATCCTTCTTTAAAGATTATTTGAGAAAGTGACAATACAAGGTTTAAAAGTACCATATGCAAAATTTTACACTCAACACATTTATATTTAAATTCTTCTCAAATGGAGAGTAAGACTGTATTTAGTTGCAATGCAATTTTATTTGTACTAGTACAAATGTATGGGAGTGCAAATAAAAAGAATACAAATTCTGGTTTAATTTTGTTTTGGATTTTATTTCATTTTATTTTATGGCTTATTTTACTTCATTTATACTACAATCAAACAGAATGAGGTAAAATTTGGAACAAAAATAAATTAGAATTTGCACTCAAATCATTTGCACTACTATAATTTTACATCGATGCAAATTTATTTGCACTACAACCAAACACAGCCTAAAGTGTAAAGAAATATTTTCCTTATTAAGTGGCATTGGTCATAGATAAATGCATGGAAAAATGTATATTTGACTTAGTTTGAAAAGAATACAAATACAAATACAAATATATACAATACAAATACATACAAAAGAATACAAAATGCAAGGTTTTGCATTATACACGTTGTATCTGTATTCTTTCTAAACTGAGCCTGAATTAGGTTCGGTTTAGGAACAATACAGATACAATATGTATAATGCAAAACCTTGTATTTACATCTGCACTCTTTCCAACCAATTGAAAGAAATAAAATCACTATCTACGGCAGCCACTTTATCACAACAATCAAGTAGTGTGGACATTCATTGTATTCATTTTGTTTATTTTCTCTGTACATGGGCATCATCTAAGCCAGTCTATACTTGGATTTTTGCATCAATTCTCGACCCGGATTGGGACTTGGGAGAGAGCTATCCCCCCTAGTGTTTGCCCAGTATAAGTCCTAATCCTAATTGACGTTCCGATTGAACCAAACTTGGACTTTGTTAATTTCCATTTTATGTGCCAACAACTGTATAAAAATAACTCTAGTTAGGGAAAAAATAACAAAACTTAACATCAAATACGCCCATCTAGTGAAAAAAAACCAACATATTTAAAATTTCTATACATGTACAAACTGACGCTTATTGATACCCAACTTGTTAGCTTGGGGACATCTGGACAGGATCATTAAAACGATGTTTTGTTGCTAATTAATCTCCATAGAAATTGCTGTCTTAATCTCTTTAATTCTTTATTAATACGTAAAGCTGAGATGAGTGAATCGAAATCTTCTATTAGCAGCTCATTAATGAATGCAAGTTTCTCATGCATGGTAGATGTCAATTTAGGACATCATGTATTCAAGTATTAGGTGTATGTAGTACATGTTTTGAGGTGAGTTGATGTTTGTTTCAAGTAGGTTAACAACTCCATTGAACCCTGTCTCTCCTTCAACATTCAACTTCAAATGGTTGGTGAAATGGAAGGTCATCCGTCATTCTCATGGTTTTTTCAGATCCTAAACTAACACTAACACTAGTATTTTCCAAATAAAAATAAATTGGTACCATCAACAAGAAAGAACTAAATGTCAACTGTTGACATCTTTAGATGATAACTATTAAGCTAAGTTTGGAAAAAAAAAAAAAGATAAATTCAACCTGCACTAAAAAATAAGAAATATTGAAATAAAACAAAATGAGCCAAATCCCATCTGGAGAATAGATTGTTTACCTTAATCTTTTAATTTATCAAATTGTTGTTTAATTTACTTAAGACTTGGTTGGGTGAGCATACCCAACAGTACAGACGTACTACGTATATAAAAACTTCACTATTACCAAGCAAACAAAGCATAGACGGCCTCTTGCAATTTCCCAATATATTTTATTCTTTAATTTGTAAATTTTCCACAACACAAAATAAGAGGGTTTGATTTTGCCACGTGACAAAACCTTTTGAAGGTGGAACGAAAAAGGTGGGTCCTTGGGCCCCCAATGTATTGCCACGCGGCAACATGACCCATTTCTGCCACTAGCTCCTAGCAGCAGGTCTGAACCATCAAAAACATCTCAGCAGGAAGAGACGAATTTGAGTAATAACTTGTAGAGAAAAATCAAAATAACTGCTGACTGCATGCAGCATGTCACATGACGGAGCATGTCAAATTGGGCTCTTCAGCCTTGCCCACATGGATATACGCTCGGCCGCACCTCTCGCAAACCTTGGGCAAACTAGTAGTTTTTTCCTTTTCCTTCTCCTTCTGATCAGGCTTCTTGTCATCGGATTTGGGTGGAGGTCCAACACTCACGACTTCAACTAATCTCTCAGTTCTCTTTACACGAGTGATCACTTCGTAAGGGTCGGCAGTTCCGGTAACCGACAAGACGCCCTTCCCTGCGTCAATCTCCACCTTGTCTACCCCTGCAATGATCAAAATGCAAGCTCTATTCATCATCCTTTAATCTCATAAGACAACATTAATTACTTGCTTTTCAGAAGAAACAACTTAGAAAAAGTACGTAGAATAATTGGGATAATTGTGACCTAATAACAAAAAATCAAAATAAAATAAGAAATGATTAACATAAATATGCAGATGATCGCAGTGTTCATACCTTCTACCCCTGACACTGCAGTTAGGACCTTCTGTTTGCATTTTTGGCAAGAAATTTTGACCTTCAAGACAGTTCTGTGTACCATGGAAGAGAGAGCTACTACTCCTTCAACCTATCAGCTAGCTGGTGTGCATAGATCTTGAGGTTTTATGTTATTTAGAGGCGGAGATCACCAGAATAAAGTTGTGGGTTGTTCATCTTCTCTAGCTATAAATCTTAATTATGAGGAATCTTCAACCAAGAAAAAAAAAGTTTGTGGCCTTCTGTCTGATTGGATTAAATGTAAGAAAAGAAAAGGGAAAAGAATGCGTAGCTTATGGCATAAGGGACGCATGCAACAAAGCTTGGGGTTTATAAATATACTTTAATTACATTACTTAAAGCCAATGTTTTAAACCCGCCGTTGACTCGGTCAGTCGAACTGTCACCCAGGTTGGATTTAGGGTTTTATTCAGTTAAGATTCATCAGATAGTAAAAAACTTTTGATTTGGTCAAGAATCGTTTGACCCGGCTAGTTCGACTGTTGACCCATTTGACCTGGTGATCGAGTCATAGGTTGCACACTCAATGCATGCAAATTTTTAGAAGCTATAACTTTGCACTCTGATGTCCAATTAGGATGTTTTTTTTTTTAATTTTGGGTAGCTTTTCGAGATTTATGCATCTTGCAAAAAAAAATCCTTTTTGGTCTCAAATATATATATGCGCTGACGTGGTACGGTTTGAACTGTTCAACTCAGCTAGTCAAACTAGTGACTCGCGACCTGGAGGCAAAAACGGTTCGGCCTCCGAGTCAATTTTTAAAACATTGCTTAAAGATATTGCTTGAAGTTGCTTAATTAATTAATATATTGACTTGATATTATTTGCTAATTCTAATATTGTCGTCCATTGGCCATTGCCATCCGTTACCATGCAAAATGACCATATATAAATCTGGTAAAAAGTCAGATCCAACCCATCAAACCTGACCTTAAAACTATGTTTGGTTTGAAGGAAAAAGGTAGGGAAATGAAGGAAAAGGTGAAGAAACCTATACAAGGTTTATAAAAGTTTTCCCACTTTTCCCTTCCTTTTCCTACATTTTTCTTCAAACCAAACACAGCCTAAATGAACCAGAAAAGTGGGTTAGGATCCTCTATCCTCTATCTAGTGACTCGAACTAGAAAGCGACATGACCCCATCCAACCTGAAAAATACTTTGGGTTGGGTCATAGGTCACTTTTGGGTCACTTTTTTTTCACACCAATGTTTTCAAACTGGTATTGACTTGAACGGTTGAACTGTTCAAAACATTCAAACGACAATAAAATCTACATTTTTACTAAAAACTGTTGATTTGGTCAAATATCAATTAACTTGGGTGATTGAACTATTGATCCATTTGACTTATGTGTCTAACCCTAACCTGAACAATTAGGCTATATTTGGTTTAAAGGAAAAAGTAGGGAAAGGAAGTAAAAGGTAAAAAAATCTTTACAAACCTTGTATGAGTTTCCTACCCTTCCTTTCCTTTTTCTATTTTTTTATTTCAAACCAAGCACAGCCTTAGTGTTAGAATCTAGATTTTGCCGACCCAACCCAAAATCACCCTATATCGCCTTGGCCCAACCCAATTGCCAGGTATAATCATACCCCAACCATACAGCCCACACCATTGAAGATGGTATACCAAATTTGATCAGGCAAACAACTAAACTTAGGTATGATTTATTTAAAATTTAAATAAAATTATTCCATTGGGAGTGATTATATATAACTCTATTAATTAAGTGATAAAAAACTTGAAGCATTCCACTAATTATTAAATAAATATGGCACATTAACTTTATGTACAATTTATTTCTTAACATTTGTTTCAGTTGTTGAGTAGTAGTTAGAGTTATTCCTCATTTCGTGTAGTCAGGAAAACTAAATCCTGGATTGAACCAAAATGTTAGGTACGTTGCTCCAAGTCGTTCAAATTCATTGAAAAATAAAAAATAAAAAATCTCGTTTGTTTAATTAGGTGCTTGCTATACGGGTTTTCTCGGATTGGGAAAGCCCCTGTTTATTAAATTCAGTAATTGATTAGCCCCATTAGCTACTTCCTTACTCGAATCATTGATCTGGGACATATGATAGTATGATACAGCCTTTCTCAACAAAAATAAAATCGTAATCGCCTGACATAAGTGGGTTCTAATGACTTGAATCGTTTCGTTCGGGGCTTTCATCTAGGATTAATGATGAGAACAAAGAGATAATTAATTTGTCGGCTGGGGGTTGAGCTCCATCGGAGTCGGAGATAGAGACAAGCCTGACAGGTAATTTACGAATCAAATGTAGCAAATTTCCACAGCTCTGTGGCCTGTAAGAAAGGGAATAACTCGTGGAGGTGCCAAATAATGTGGTTGGCCTAACGATGAAATTAGTGATTATTTATTTCTAGAGAATTTGTGTTCAATTGGGTTGAAATGGGCGAGTTACTACAAATGATAAAGAAGGACTAGATTCCCAAAGCCCTGAACTGAATGAGAAATTTTATTAATTGGGGTAGTTTTCTTTTAGAGCACGCCCACCACACGCGCTGCACGTCCAACCGTGCATTGGGAACATCTCCCAATGATAAATATAGAGATATTCATAATGCACGGTTGGATGTGCATGTGGGTCGCCTCTCTTTGTGAGTAGCCCATCCTAATTCCACTATGAGTGACAGATACACACCATTTATATATATATACTTCATTACAATCTGGTTTGCTATGAAAACAGTAACAAAGGTTAATTTGATGGAGTCCAAAAACAACAATCCTTTTTTCTTACAAGAGTGGAGATGGAGCTGAATCCAACTCATTTCAATCTCATATAGCTGAAAAATCTGCTAGTTTCCAAAATCTGTTTTGCTGCAAAATCAGATTGGCACCCCACACAGCACAGAGCGTGTCCCACACGTGCATTTGGAACATCTGTAATTTTCACGGGGAGATGTTGCATGGTTGAATGCGCTGTGGGGCACGCATAGGCATAGGGTGCGCTCTGTTGTCTTGGGCACCGATGCGAATTCACAAAATAGAAGTCAAACAGCAAATACTGAAAATTTGTGTTCTTCATTTCCATGTTGATATCCCAAACACAGAGACCAGGTTGTGTTTAAAAAACAGGAATGAAAATGGAAACGGATCCTACTCCCACTCAATTCCATGAAATATTACCTCTCCCAGACAAGACTTCAGGGGCCGGGTAGAAAGGCTATAGAACCAACCAAGGCCCAGCCTGTCCAGTGTCCACATCTCAGGTCTGCAATAAAAAGGCCTGCTGCTGGGCCTGCCTGTGACTTACTACACACTCTCCTACTATTTTGCTAATGCTAAATAGAGCACTTTCTAGTCTCTTCCGAGGACCAAGGAATCAAGGATAGTAGTGGAAGACAAGAATACCCTGACAATGTTATTAATTGTTTTGTCATGTACTCTTTTGTTAAAGCGTATTGCTTATATCCTTAATCCCATCAAATATTTTGAGAAAAATCTATGAGAGTTTTGATCAATTAAAGCCCATCCATCAAATTTGATAAGTAACATTTGGTTGGTTATGACGTTTAAGATACCAGTTGATATGATATCTTTTCCATATCATAGTGGAACTCTTTGATGAGCATGTATAGAATATATTGTCTATATAATATATGCATTATTTTATATTTATATATATATTTATTATGCAACCTGTGATTCGGGTGAGCGGGTCTAATGGGTTCACAGCTTAACTATCTGGATCGGACAGTTTTTGACCTGGTAAATATTTTTGACCAAATACCGGATTTTAGCATAATTGGACCCAAAATCAAGGCCAATTGATAGTTCACACGGTTTAACCAGCCAGGCCAACAGTTGGTTGAAAACATTGGTTTTATTGAGACGTAAAACAATGTCTTAATAGAAAAAAGCCTTTGTCTCTAGGCGTATATACTCTATTCAGTATCACACGCAGGACCAGATCTAATGGGCACAATATAATAAGCACGTTCAATGAATACTTGATAAATATTCTCACAAGTGTCAAAAGTGGATTTTGGATTTTAATCTTTTCCAAGGGTAGGCTGGGGGTATATATATTAAGGGAGACGTGTCAAAAAAATTTCTAATTGCTCATTGAACGTGGTGTACAAACTCATTGATGCTCATTTTTTATGAGTTGTTAGAAATTAAAGCGGATGTATGATGATACTTGGTAGTTGCTGGAAGTTATTGTGAACGCTTTCGACCTGTCTGTGAAAACCTAGTTGCATCCGTCTAGCTCCATGCATTTACAACGAAACATGTCACTCAACGCTTAAGTTGCAGAAGCATAATCTTTCAATAGTCTGCTGTGAACTAAGATCCTCAAGAAACACAAAATGTGCTTATTTGTTGATACAATTCAAGACGAAATATGAGAGCTGGGCTCATAGGTCTCAAGAAATCGTAAAGATTTAAAGGAAAAAGATAATATTTCGACTGAGATTGAGATCGACTCTGAAAAAAAAAACAAACTAAAACTCAAGAACATTATGTAAATTAAAGCTGATAGAGTGAAAATTCCAAAGAAATCAGTGAATCGTGAGTTTCTTTCTTACTCAGAAAGATGAGAACCTATAAGATGGAACAGTAATTGTAATCTTCACCAATCACATACCACTCTTCACATCTATGGCATGTCTTTGGAAGATAAGGGTTGGTATCTTTCTTCTCATCCTTCTTCTCTTCCTTGGAAGGGACAATGCTCACAATCTCTGCAGATTTTCTGAATTTCCTCACCTTTTTTATTATATCAACTGGATCGGCTTCTCCAATTACGGTAACTGTCCTTTTGGATGAGTCGAGGACAATGGAACTTATCCCTTCTATTCCTGCAACTAATTTCATCACCTTCTTCTTGCACTTGGAACAAAAGAGGTCCACTGACACTATAACTTTCTGCAACAACAGCAGATCTAGTCAGACAATTAGCTAGTACTTCATTCATGCTAGATCTAAGGAAATAAAAATGTACTTGATCCAGAGACTGGTGCAAGTGTCGGTGTGAGAAGGGGAGGACTTGAAAAATAGTAAAGCACAAAAATCAAGTGAGGAAGAGACAGAACCTTCGACATATTAAGGTACAGCTAATTGCATGGATGTGGAATACGGGTCGGTACTCTATGGAAAGGAGATGGATGGAAACTATTTATAAAGTTTTTCTTCTTTTCTGCTATTTGCCTGGGTGGAAAAGTAAATGGAGGGCCAGCTCTAGTTGGAGGAAGTAAATGCTGGGTAGGAAGTACTTTTGTGGGATGACCTATGAACTCTGGCACTGGTCTTCTTAATTTGTCGCCTCACATTCAACTCTGTTCAGTCTTCTTCTTGGTTCTCTTTTTTTGACACCATCCTCGCCGGAGGTGTGGGTTCTCAAAGCTACAAGGGGAGCTTGGTGATATGGATAGAACCAATCCTTGCCGGTTGGTTGGCCTCTTTTTGGAGAATTACTTGCCATGTTTCATGGGATCATCCAATAATCCTAAAGATAGAAGGATCCATCTGGATTCTGGATTGATTTGTGGTTGTTGGACTTGGACTTGGACTTGGACTGCTTGATGCTGATGGGCTCTATTAATTATCACAATGGAAGGCCCATATGGACTTGCGTGTATAACACTCAGATCAATGACCCATTCTTCAGCCAGCAAAAGCAAGCACAAAAACAATGAATTTCAACCTCCCAGCAAAAGCAAGCACAAAAACAAAATCAATGAATTTCTGATGAGGTTAAATAGGAACTTCCTAATTCTGCAATTGGAAAGACCACGTCATCAATTTGGATCGTCCATCAAATGCGGGATCCTTTGATTGGCCGTGTAGTCACTCCCCCTCCCTTAGTCCCTAATCCCTATCAACCACGTCTACCTACCTACCCACTTCGTATTCTTGTCAGTTTGGCTCCATTTTTTTTTTATTTTACTACTCGACCTTTTGGCTATTACCACTGGTTTATAATTTTACAATTTCATCGCCTGATCTTATTAAAATACTAACAGGACCCATGCAATGCACTGGATTTATTAAGCAAAAAATAAATAATAGAAAGGGTCATTTATTAAAATATCCTTATAGCTTCATGGATTTACTAAGATCTACCCTATATTTAGTATTTTACTAAAACACCATTTATAATTTGCAAGCGATTTAATCAATTTTCCATTAGATGATAGTGGAAAATGATAATATTGACCCTAATGTTCATTTAAATAAATTTAATAAAAAAATAGAAATAAAAATACCATTTTTGCCCTTAATAAGACACGAGCAAGCACTTTATAGGCTATATTTGGTCAATTTTGTTTTTTTTTGTATAAAAAAGTGTTAAGGGTATTTTTGGAATAAAAAATAATGGGCCTAATGGAGAAACAAATACTCCCTAATGAAAGGTTGATTAAGTAAATAATTTATAAAATATATGGGATGTTTTAGTAAAATGAAAACTATAAGGTAGGTTTAAGTAAATATGTAAAAGTATAAGATGTGTTCCAGTAAATGACCCTAATAGAAACAAATAAGAGTATACAATTGTTTTATATTTTTCAACTTTTTAAATAATTAATAATTATTCATATTTTATATACTACTTCTAATAATTTTTTTATAATACAAAAATAATAATAATTAATTTCTGTTAGGTTTATTCATCAAACTTATGAAACCGACCAACCTGATCAACTCGACCCGAGTTGGTTGATTTTCTAGTATTTTATGTCGACTTTGGTTCAAAAAGTTTCCAATTCGACCAAGTTGGATCAGTTTCACTTTGGCCATTTGTAAACCGACCAAAATCAAACGACCTAACCATGGAGATATATATATTACTATTTTATATTTTAAATACAATTTTTAATATGAAAATGTGAGAAATTTCCTATATTTCTTAGTCTAAAATGTTTTATTTCATAAATCTAATTTTTCAATTTATTTTTTAATAATTGCACTGTACTTTTGAAAATTAAATTTAATTTTTAAGTTTAGATCTTTTGAACCGACTGACCTTTTGTGAAAATTGACCCAAACCAATACAACTTGAGTGGTTCGGTTTTCACAAAAGGTCAGTCGATTTTAGCTGACAACTCCCCAACCTGGCCAAGTCAATTTGGTTGGCCAAATAACTCTCCTGAAATTCTGAGCAAATACTTAGTACCACCCATGGTTTTAAAAAATGACCCAGAAGTGGAACTGATGTCGCACGATCTAGCTGCTCCCTCGTGTCAAATAACTCGGGTGTTGATTCAAGTGATTCCTTGTTTGGGCCGAGCTGGAGTTCGCCAAGCTGGAGGTCACCGAGCTAATATGTTCTGCAAGGAAGATTAGAGTGCTCGAGTTGTCTTTACCCGAGGTGGGCACTCCGATGCTTAAGTTAGAGAGTGTTTTGAGAGTTCTTGAGAGAATGAGAGAGCTTGAGAGTATGTAATTACGCGTACCTTCACGGGTAGAAATCAGTGTCTTATATAAGTGTCACTTGTTTGAAGCCTCTTGCAACAGGTCTCATCTTCTCGTAGAGCCATTTCTGCTAAGTTGGGTGTATTAATATGTTGGTTATGGGATCTGCACGGTGGTTACGATCTGCCCGAATAACTCTGAGGTGTGCGGTGCGGTAGGTTGGTCTAACGGTCGAGGTATTAACACTCTAGAGATCTTGGGCTAGTAATGCATTATCTATTCAAGTTAGCGAGCTCTTTTTTAAGATAGGTTATCGCGAGTTAGGGAACCTATCAGTTCGGCCTGGGCGAGGTACTTCAAGCTAACTTGCCGAGTGTTAGACAGTTGTATGCCCTTAGCTTCAATCAGAATGATGTATATTATGAATTTATTGTAAATGAATAAAGTACATATTTGATTCATGTTCTTATGATGTGTTTCTGTGTAATACCCTTAAACTGGACACTTATGAGACTCATGTTAGTTTAGAATGTTCACAGCCGTTGGATAAGTCTGGGGAGATTTATCCTGTCAAGGCTGACACTGGTGTGCTGCCAAATGTTGGGGTGGGCCTGTCTCAGCTGCCAGGGTGAGACCCAAGGCACGTGCAATGTAGGATTAATTGAATCTTTGAACTAGACCAGATTTCCAATATTGCCCTGGACCTTAGAGATTGATGGGCAAAACTGAAAAGTTACACCTGACCCCTAGACTCGATTATGATACTGTAGTAGGTGTCAGATTGGGCTGTTTTTGATATGCCAATTGGTGAGATCCTTAGCAGGAGTCAAAACCTGGGTATGTTGGGACAGTTCGAGAATTCATATGAGTGGGTGATCATAGTAACAGGATCAGCCCCTTTGTCGGACAAAGGTAATGATCGGGGATGCACTCTCTCTAATGGAAACCAAGACTACCGGCAATCGATTTCAATCGTTGAGATTTGTTTTGCAAAATATATTTTATATGAGATATAAAAGTATATATATTACGGTTTCTAAACGTTTGCAAAAGGTTTTAATTCCCGGGATCCATGTGAGCAGAGAGTGCAACACTATTCCTTGCAGCCAAGGGAGAGGTCCTCTCTTGTCGGGTAGTGTTTGATCATTATGGGCTGAGAGGTTAAGTGTAAGACCATTGAGGGTAATACCTGATGGGCTAATCTTGCATCTGCCCACAGTCTCTAGGTGTTACAAGGTGGCTTGGCCCAGGGACCACTTAGGGTAAGTGTTGGGCCCACAGAGCCCATGTGATGGGTTTCAGGGGTGCGCTGTCCAGAACAATGTATTCAGCTAGGCCTTGTAACAAAGGCTGGGCTGAACCCATGTGACTGATGTGTAGATCAATGTTTGGGTCCCATGCCATACAAGGAAGCCCAACTGGGTAGTAGTTTGGAAGGCTAAGTGAGCACATACTATTAATGGGCCTAAAGCCCATTTTGAACTGGGCTGATTTGATCAGTTAAGGAAGGGGCGAATCTGAGATTAGATTAGCAGATAGGATAAGGTCTTACCCTATCCACTCAGAGAGTCCAAATCTGAATATAGATTCAGATCTGGAAACCTCCTAATAGGATTAGGAGAGGGCTGATCTAATCTGCAGATAAGATAAGGGTTTACCCTTATCACTTAAAGGGAATTCTAATCCAAATATGATTTGGATCAGCAACTCCTAATGGGATTAGGAGCTCATTTAAGCTTATAAAAGGAGGAGGGGGTGGTAGCCTTTTAGATATTGATATTCACTTTCTCTTCTGAGCTGAAATCCCAGAAGAAAGAATTCAGCACCTTTGCGAAATTCTTTCTTGTCGCCTCCTTCCTGCCGCCGCCATATCTGCTAGTTCGATCTCCTATTCTCAATGGGAGTGATCAAGATTGGATCTTGATATCAGTCCTTTGCGAAAGGGCTGATTGGAAGTCGTGCTCCCATGCCATCTAGCTGATTCTTGCGAAGGATCTAGTTCTTTTAAAGAACGCTGCTGATTCTGCTCCATCCTGCACTGTGCCATCTTCAGTGGGAGCAGTCTTTGGTTCCTTCCTCGGGCGTGAACACCTCCATTGGGAGATACTATTTCTTCGTATCAGGTATATCCCTCTCCTACTGCTTTTGTTCAGATCTGGTTCGGTTCTTGGTTCAAGATTGATCATTGAAAAATATGATTTTTCTAAAATAGGGAATACGATTCCCAGTAGGTAGGAGAGAAATTATTGAAATTCGCCCATTCTATTCCGCAAGTTTCGGGCGTCCATACGATGGATCTCTCATCCTTTCACCGAGCTAGTTTGGTTACTCAGCATTGGGGTGTTACTTGAAGGCCATGTGTTGTGAGGTGATTTGGAGGACCAAATTACCCCTCATCAATTGCCCCCACCACTCCCAAGCCTATGTCAGCTCGGTAAAGGGAGTAGCTCTCAATAGGGTAATTGGTCAGACTGGTCCATAGGTTGTCTGACTTGCTTTCTTGATCCAGTCTGAGGTCGGGCGGGGTTTATATTCAAAGTTACCCGCACGTGTCGCCAGCCATTGATTCACTACTAATGCATCTCTGCCATTAACTCCTTTGTCCCATGGATTATAAGTATGGGGTCCTCACTGGGGTGCCCACTTGCACTGTTTTTGGAGCTTTTTGGGGTGGTGTTCGATCGCAGGAGGTCAATGTCCGAGTACTGTTCCTTGTTTTCTTTGTCGA